CCCCCCCCCTTCCCTCTTTTCGTCTTTCCCCATTAAAAATATGAAAATTCAAAAATCCTCAAATTCTTCATTTTTTATTATTATTTATTTTTATATATTTTTATTTATTTTTATTAATTTAATTTTTATTGAATTTTGTTCATTTAATAATTGTTTTTACGATATTCCTCATTTTCCCCCTCCATACAAACTTTCACCCCCCTTTCCTTCTTTTCTCCTTTCCCCCTTAAAAATACGAAAATCCAAAAATCCTCAAAATACGTCATTATTTATTATTATTATTATTATTTATTTTTATTAATTTAATTTTTATTTATTATTTATTTATTAATTGTTTTTACGATATTCCCCATTTCCCCCTCAATACAAACTTTCACCCCCCTCCTCCCCCCCCCTGCCCTCTTTTCTCGTTACCCCCTTAAAAATATGAAAAACCAAAAACACTGAAACACGTCATTATTTATTTGCGATGAGTGACTATAATTCCAATTTTCAAGTTCCTACCTTTAAAAAAATCGATACCCCCATACAAATTTTTACCCCCTCCCCCTTTTATTATTTACCAATTATTCAATAAAAAAAAATCACTCACCAGTTTGTTCTTTAACCACCCTCAAAACATCAGTCATCTCCTTAATAGGAACCATCTGCTGCTTCCAGATCCCCATCCTCAAATTACCCACATTTGCTATGACAGCTTTAACGTGGGGCTGCTTGTAAGCCTCAATGTAAATGTAACCTTTCACCCCTTCCGGAGCCACCACCGATTTGATTTGTAACGGTTCGTTCGTATTTTGGTACGCCAGGAATTTGCGCATCAACAGAAGACAGGTGGATTTTTCTTCTCCTATTCGACATTTCACCATCCACAAGTTCGGATCCCTCAAGAACAAATCGTTAGAATTAAAAAGTAAAAACTTATTATAGTAAATAATTATTAAAAACTTAATAATTATGTACCTGTTCAGATTTGAATATTTTTTCTTTATATTCACGTACTAAATTAACTTCCTGTATATGAAATAAATTATATTTAATTAAAATGATATGATTTTCGAGAAAATAATTTTTTTTTTTTTATAAAATGTTGAGTTATATAGTAGATATTCTTACTTTACTCCAGGCAACAGTGTCTGTTGTGTAATTTCATCAGACATTTCCTCTCCTCCATCTCCAAAATGCTTAATAGCTGCCCCATCGTCTGCGTATTTTCTTTTGAGGTACTCCTCGATTTCAGATTCTTTTTGAGCACTAGAAAAAAAAGTATATTAATTTATAAGAACGTAGTGATGTTATAAGTGCATTTTATAAAAATACTTACTCCCATAAATTAGTGCCTCGTCTCCTTCCTTCAATTTCTCTGGCTGTTGGACCAAATTCGTCAACCTCGTTAGGAACGATTCCAATTTCTTGGGCACCATCTTCCCATTCGTCTTCGTCTTCTACTTCATCATCGACCTATGGTTGTTTTTGAAATAAAATATCTGCTATTGTAAGGTAGTTTTGAAATGTACATATTTAATGCAAAATTAAATAAAGAAGATTTTTCGTCCGTGTATAAATTAGACAGTACCTGATGATGCTTTTGATACATTCTTTAGAATCATTTTATATCATACTGATGTAACTTGTTCCCTTGTCAGAACAGAAATGGTTAAAAACAATACATCAAGGCAATAAGTTTTAATAATACAAATAAATCGAAAAAAGAACGAAAATTTTTACAAAATGTTAAAAAAAATTCAAATTTTTAGTAATATTTTTTAAAAAAGTAAAAAAATAACAAGAAAAAGAACGAAAAAAGAGTAAAAAAAATTAAAAAGACAAAAAGAACAAAAAAAAAGTTAAAAAACGAAAAAAGAATAAAACGAAAAAAAGAACAGAAAAAGAACAAGAAAAATAAAAAAGAATAAAAACAAAGAAAACAAATTTTTGCTTTATGCCAAATTTTCCTGAAATGATCCGTATTCGAGATATTTGATAAAAAGTGTAAATTTCGAATTTTGAAGAAAACTCAAAAACGGATAAAGAGAAAAACACTAAATTTTAAACTAAACCTTTATTCTGGTCTGTGGTGAATTGATAAGATTTTGGGCAGGGTCGGAACATCTGGGGGGGTACTTTATAGGAGGCCGTTTTTATATTTTATGGAATATATCTGTTATTTACATTTAGAAAAGAAAATTGTTCAAATAAAAGTTACTTACAATATTATTATCTATAATTATTGTCTATACAAAATTTTCCTAAAATTGACCGTATTCGAGATATTTGAGAAAATGTGTAAATTTCGAATTTTGAAGAAAACTCAAAAACGGATAAAGAGAAAAACACTAAATTTTAAACTAAACCTTTATTCTGGTCTGCGGTGAAATGATAAGATTTTGGGCAGAGTCGGAACATCTGGGGGGGTACTTTATAGGAGGCCGTTTTTATATTTTATGGAATATATCTGTTATTTACATTTAGAAAAGAAAATTGTTCAAATAAAAGTTACTTACAATATTATTATCTATAATTATTGTGTATACAAAATTTTCCTAAAATGGACCGTATTCGAGATATTTGATAAAAAGTGTAAATTTCGAATTTTGAAGAAAACTCAAAAACGGATAAAGAGAAAAACACTAAATTTTAAACTAAACCTTTATTCTGGTCTGTGGTGAATTGATAAGATTTTGAATAGAGTCGGAACATCTGGGGGGGGTACTTTATAGGAGGCCGTTTTTATATTTTATGGAATATATCTGTTATTTACATTTAGAAAAGAAAATTGTTCAAATAAAAGTTACTTACAATATTATTATCTATAATTTTTGTTCTATACAAAATTTTCCTAAAATGGTCCGTATTCGAGATATTTGAGAAAATGTGTAAATTTCGAATTTTGAAGAAAACTCAAAAACGGATAAAGAGAAAAACACTAAATTTTAAACTAAACCTTTATTCTGGTCTGTGGTGAAGTGATAAGATTTTGGGCAGAGTCGGAACATTTGAGGGGGTACTTTATAGGAGGCCGTTTTTATATTTTATGGAATATATCTGTTATTTACATTTAGAAAAGAAAATTATTCAAATAAAAGTTACTTACAATATTATTATCTATAATTATTGTCTATACAAAATTTTCCTAAAATGGACCGTATTCGAGATATTTGATAAAAAGTGTAAATTTCGAATTTTGAAGAAAACTCAAAAACGGATAAAGAGAAAAACACTAAATTTTAAACTAAACCTTTATTCTGGTCTGCGGTAAAATGATAAGATTTTGAACAGAGTCGGAACATCTGGGGGGGTAATTTATAGGAGGCCGTTTTTATATTTTATGGAATATATCTGTTATTTACATTTAGAAAAGAAAATTGTTCAATTAAAAGTTACTTACAATATTATTATCTATAATTATTGTCTATACAAAATTTTCCTAAAATGGACCGTATTCGAGATATTTGATAAAAAGTGTAAATTTCGAATTTTGAAGAAAACTCAAAAACGGATAAAGAGAAAAACACTAAATTTTAAACTAAACCTTTATTCTGGTCTGTGGTGAATTGATAAGATTTTGAATAGAGTCGGAACATCTGGGGGGGGTACTTTATAGGAGGCCGTTTTTATATTTTATGGAATATATCTGTTATTTACATTTAGAAAAGAAAATTGTTCAAATAAAAGTTACTTACAATTATTATCTATAATTATTGTGTATACAAAATTTTCCTAAAATGGACCGTATTCGAGATATTTGTTAAAAAGTGTAAATTTCGAATTTTGAAGAAAACTCAAAAACGGATAAAGAGAAAAACACTAAATTTTAAACTAAACCTTTATTCTGGTCTGTGGTGAAGTAATAAGATTTTGGGCAGAGTCGGAACATCTGGGGGGTACTTTATAGGAGGCCGTTTTTATATTTTATGGAATATATCTGTTATTTATATTTGGAAAAGAAAATTGTTCAAATAAAAGTTACTTACAATATTATTATCTATAATTATTGTCTATACAAAATTTTCCTAAAATGGTCCGTATTCGAGAAATTTGACAAAATGTAAAAAAAATTAATTTTATTTTTTATAAAAAATGTTCAAATAAAAGTTATGTCATTCTCTATAACCATACATATATAGGACAAAAAAAGAAGAAACAAACAAAAAAGAACAAATAAAAACAAAACAAAAAAGCTTTAAAGGAAATTTTTCAAAGTAAAAAAAAAAAAACGAAAAAAAAAAACAAAAAAACAAAAAAAAAGGAAAAAAGAATAAAAAAGAAAAAAAGATAAAAAAGTACAAAAAAATCAAAAAGAAGAACAAAATTTTTTAAAAAATGTAAAAAAATTCAAATTTTTCAAAAAAGTGAAAAAAGAACAAGAAAAACAACGAAAAAAGTAAAAAAAGATTAAAAAATACATAGATAAACATTATAAGACAAAAATAGAAAACAAACAAAAAAAACGTAAAAGGAAATTGTTCAAAAAAGTAAAAAAAAAAAAACGAAAAAAGAATAAAAAAAGAGGAAAAAAGAATAAAAAAAAGCAAAAAAGATAAAAAGTAAAAAAGAGTACAAAAAAGAACGAAAAAAGAACAAAAAATAAAAAACAAAAAATCAAAAAACAAAAAATTTTACAGAATGTAAAAAAATTAAAATTTTTCAAAAAAGTAAAAAAAGAATAAGAAAAAAGAGTAAAAATAGAAAATTAAAAAAAGAACAAAAATTTTTACAAAATATAAAAAAAAATCAAATTTTTAATAAAATTTTTCAAAAAATTAAAAAAGAACAAGAAAAAGAACGAAAAAAGAGTAAAAAAAAATAAAAAAGACAAAGATAAACATTATAAGACAAAAAAAAAGGAAAAAAAAAAACGAAAAATGAATAAAAAAGAGCAAAAAGAATAAAAAAAGGGAAAAAAAGATAAAAAGAACAAAAAGTGCAAAAAAAGAACGAAAAAAAGAACAGAAAAAACAAAAAAATAAAAAAAGAACGAAAAAAAGGACAGAAAAAACAAAAAAAATAAAAAGAGAACAAAAACAAGACAAAAAAAATTAAAAAAAGAACAAAATTGTTTACAAAATTAAAAAAAATAAAATTTTAATAAATTTTTTAAAAAAGCAAAAAAAAAGAACGAAAAAAGAGTAAAAAAAGATTAAAAAAGACAAAAAGAATAAAAAAAAGTTAAAAAAGAAGAAAAACGAAAAAAAGAAAAAAAAACGAAAAAAAAGAACAGAAGAAAAACAAGAAACATAAAAAAGAACAAAAAACAAAGAAAACAAATTTTTGCTTTATGCCAAATTTTCCTGAAAAAGTGTTCAGAAAAAGTGTAAATTTAGAATTTTAAAGAAAACTCAAAAACGGAAAAAAAACCGCTACAATTTTCAACTCAAGCTTTATTCATCCGATCTGAGGTAAACTGATTAGATTTTGAGCAAAGTCGGAACATCTGGGGGTACTTTATGGGAGTCCGTTTTTATATTTTATGGAATATATCTGTTATTTACGTTTGGAAAAGAAAATTTTTCAAATAAAAGTTACTTACAATATTATTATCTATAATTATTGTCTATACAAAATTTTCCTAAAATGGACCGTATTCGAGATATTTGATAAAAAGTGTAAATTTCGAATTTTGAAGAAAACTCAAAAACGGATAAAGAGAAAAACACTAAATTTTAAACTAAACCTTTATTCTGGTCTGCGGTGAAATGATAAGATTTTGGGCAGAGTTGGAACATCTGGGGGGGTACTTTATAGGAGGCCGTTTATATATTTTATGGAATATATCTGTTATTTACATTTAGAAAAGAAAATTGTTCAAATAAAAGTTACTTACAATATTATTATCTATAATTATTGTCTATACAAAATTTTCCTAAAATGGACCGTATTCGAGATATTTGATAAAAAGTGTAAATTTCGAATTTTGAAGAAAACTCAAAAACGGATAAAGAGAAAAACACTAAATTTTAAACTAAACCTTTATTCTGGTCTGCGGTGAAATGATAAGATTTTGGGCAGAGTTGGAACATCTGGGAGGGGAATTTTAAAGGAGGCCGTTTTTATATTTTATCTAATATATCTGTTATTTACATTTAGAAAAGAAAATTGTTCAAATAAAAGTTACTTACAATATTATTATCTATAATTATTGTCTATACAAAATTTTCCTAAAATGGACCGTATTCGAGATATTTGATAAAAAGTGTAAATTTCGAATTTTGAAGAAAACTCAAAAACGGATAAAGAGAAAAACACTAAATTTTAAACTAAACCTTTATTCTGGTCTGCGGTGAAATGATAAGATTTTGGGCAGAGTTGGAACATCTGGGAGGGGAATTTTAAAGGAGGCCGTTTTTATATTTTATGGAATATATTTGTTATTTACATTTAGAAAAGAAAATTGTTCAAATAAAAGTTACTTACAATATTATTATCTATAATTATTGTCTATACAAAATTTTCCTAAAATGGTCCGTATTCGAGAAATTTGACAAAATGTAAAAAAATTAATTTTATTTTTTATAAAAATTGTTCAAATAAAAGTTATGTCATTCTCTATAACCATACATATATAGGACAAAAAAAGAAGAAACAAACAAAAAAGAACAAATAAAAACAAAACAAAACAAAAAAGCATTAAAGGAAATTTTTCAAAAAAGTAAAAAAAAAAACGAAAAAAAAAAAAAAAGAGGAAAAAAGAATAAAAAAGCAAAAAAGATAAAAAAAAGTACAAAAAAATAAAAAAAAAGAACAAAATTTTTTACAAAATGTAAAAAAATTCAAATTTTTAATAAAATTTTTCAAAAAAGTAAAAAAAAGAACGAAAAAAGAATAAGAAAAAGAACGAAAAAAGAGTAAAAAAAGATTAAAAAAGACATAGATAAACATTATAACACAAAAAAAGAAAAACAAACAAAAAAGCCTTAAAGGAAATTGTTCAAAAAAGTAAAAAAAAAACGAAAAAGGAATTAAAAAAAGAAAAAGACTAAAAGACCAAAAAAGATAAAAAGTAAAAAAAAAACGAAAAAAATAACAAAAAAAAAATAACAAAAAAAGAACAAAAAATAAAAAACAAAAAAAAAACAAAAAAAAATTTTACAAAATGTAAAAAAATTAAAATTTTTCATAAAATTTTTCACAAAAGTAAAAAAGAACAAGAAAAACGAAAAAAGTAAAAGAAGATTAAAAAAGACATAAACAAGACAAAAAAACATTAAAGGAAATTGTTCAAAAAAGTAAAAAAAAATTAAAAATGAATAATAAAAAAGGAAAAAAGAATAAAAAAGCAAAAAAGATAAAAAGAAAAAAAGTAAAAAAAAACAAAATAAAAAAACAAAAAATCAAAAAAAGAACAAAAATTATTACAAAATGTATAAAAATTCAAATTTTTAATAAACTAAAAAAAGAACAAGAAAAAGAATGGAAAAAGATTAAAAAAGACGTAGATAAACATTATAAAAAAGTAAAAAAAAAAAACAAAAAAAAAAAGAAACAAAAAAGAACAAATAAAAACGAAACAAAAAAACATTAAAGGAAATTGTTCAAAAAAGTAAAAAAAAAAGAAAAAAGAATAAAAAAAGGAAAAATAAAAAAGCAAAAAAGATAAAAACAACAAAAAGTAAAAAAAGAACGAAAAAAAGAACAGAAAAAGAACAAAAAATAACAAAAAATAACAAAAAAACAAAAAAATTAAAAAAATTAAAATTTTTAATAAAATAACAAAGAACAAGAAAAAGAGTAAAAAAAAGAATAAAAAAGACATAGATAAACATAAGACAAAAAAAGAAAAACAAACAAAAAAAGGAAAGAAAAAACAAAAAAACAAAAAAAAATAAAAAACAAATAAAAACATTAAAGGAAATTGTTCAAAAAAGTAAAAAAAAAACGAAAAAAGAATAAAAAAGCAAAAAAGATAAAAAGTACAAAAAGTAAAAAAGTACAAAAAAAAGAACGAAAAAAAAAACAAAAAAATCAAAAAAAAATCAAAAAAAGAAAAAATAAAAAAAACAAAAAAATCAAAAAAAGAACATTTTTACAAAATGTAAAAAAATTCAAATTTTTAATAAAATTTTTCAAATAAGAAATAAAAAAGAATAAGAAAAAGATTAAAAAAAGACAAAAAGAATAAAAAAAATTAAAAAAAGAAAAAACGAAAAAAAGAACAGAAAAAGAACAAGAAAAATAAAAAAGAACAAAAATAAAATTTTTGCTTAATGCCAAATTCGAGATATTTTACAAAAAAGATTAAAAAAGACAAAAAGAAAAAAAGTTAAAAAAGAAAAAAACGAAAAAAAGAACAGAAAAAAACAAGAAAAATGAAAAATAAAAAAAAAACAAATTTTTGCTTAATGCCAAATTAGATATTTTACAAAAAAAAAATAAAAAAGACAAAAAGAATAAAAAAAAATTAAAAAAAGAGAAAAAAGAACAAGAAACATAAAAAAGAACAAAAAAAAAACAAAGAAAAACAAATTTTTGCTTAAAGCCAAATTCAAGATATTTCACAAAATGTGCAAAATACTGATTTTTAAAAAAATTGTTAGACTAAAAGTTGTTTGTGATATCAATCTCTATAATTTTTGTTTTTTACATCATTTTTCTAAAATGGACCGTAATGAAAAAATTGTAGGAAAAGTGTAAAATTTTACCTTTTCAGTATTTTCATATATATAAAAAAGTATATGGAAAATGTATATATTTAGTTTATCCTCTAATGTACAAAATAACTGGAAAAAGCCTATAATAATTAGATAGGAAAGTCATATGTTGGGACACATCAGATATTTTAATTATCACCACAATCAGCTGAATAGAAAAAGCTTAGTGGGTGCACTCTTTTTTGATCTATCTAAAAAGCTTAGGACACCATTGATATTTTAATTATTATTAGAAAATTAAATTCTTCAGGTTTTAGGGGTAACTTTTTGCAATGGATTAATTCCTATATAGATTCTCATAAAATGTCTGCTTATCAGAAGTAAAAGACATGGATTGCAGTGTTCCTCAGGGATCAGTAATCATAGTAATAGCAATTATAGAACTCATAGTGGCAATTTACTATATATACCCCCTCATGTTTCGAAAAAAACTTCATACTACTGTAGAATAAAGTTATTCAATCATTTACCAACTTCTATGAAAACAAATTAATAGTCTGAGCTCATTTAAATGCAAATTAAAAAGGTATATACATATACCTTTCAGAATATTTAAACATCATCAGGTAAGTAAGGATATGTATTTTTTTAATAAAAATGTTCAGATTAGTATTATGCTTACCTCAGCCTCATCAATAATGAAACCACCATATCTATCCTTGTTCTTTTTCCTCTTTTTCGACCGTCCCCCATCATCACTCTCATCTTCCTCACTATCATATTCATCAGAACGAAGACTTTCTCCATCTGGTTCTTCCTCTTCTACCACATCTTCAGGGCCAGAAGCTTCTCGTGCTTCAGAACTTCAGTTAAAAAAAAGATATTTTACAAAGATTTCCAAATTTGAATAATAGGTACATACCCTCCTCTACTTTTGGGAGACCGGGACCGCGATCGTGACCGCGAACGTGATCTAGATTTAGATCGCGATCTGGACTTGGATCGCGAGGGAGATCTAGACCTAGAAGCAGATCTAGACCTCGATACTCTAGATCCTCTTGATCCCCTAGATAAACTTCTCGATCGACTTTTTGAAGGGCTTCTAGATCTTGATCTGGATTTCGATCTGGATGCGCTTCTACTTCTGGATCTAACACTTCCTCTGGAACTGCGAGATCGTACAGAACCTGCATCCGAAGCGTTTTCGTTTTCGGAAAAGTTACTTGCCTCCGAATCAGACATTATTGTGGGATTAGTTTGTATGAAATTAATATCATTTATAAAGAATAACCAATTGAATAGTATTTAATATAAAGGTGTACTAAAGTACTGTACGAACTTTTTATAAGAAATATAAACGGCATTAATCTAAAAAAGTTCACTTCACAACAAAATTACAAAATATGAGAATGACGTATTTGACATTTGACAAATGACAGGAGACTTGTTGTTCGTTTGTATTCCAGTTCGACTATTAAAATTCCTATTTCTTTGCATGCCACAATTATAATATAAATATCTATTTTTAAACTGGTCAAAAAATGGCTTCCAGTAGGTAATAACTATGAATACTAGAGATTAGAAATAGTAATAACATGTTATGATATGACTCTTTATATAGATATGGCAACCCTGTAGGTCTGGTGATATGGCAGAGTCAATGATATAAATAGTTATATAGATTGATTATTAAATATAAGCCTTATGCTTTGAATTAAAAATGTAGGAAATTATTTATTTTTTTTACTTTATTCAAAGAAACACATTTCAATCAACGTTTCTTATATATTTATGTTGTTTGCAAACTAAATAAATTGTTCATATTAAAAGTTAAACATTAGTTGCTTGTGCTCAACGTATTTAACAACCTGATAGATATTTATATGAGGAAATTATCTGAAATAACATTCCACAACTGAATATTATACAACATAGTAAACAATGTACAGGGCCGCATTTGAGATATTAAATGTAATTTGAGTGAGAGTGTTGTAACCATATTAGGGGTTTGAAAAGATAAATACAAAATGAGAGAATTTGCTGCAGTTGGTGCTAAAATTAGATAGAAATAATCATAAATATTCCAAGGAAACTATCGGTGCAACAAACTGTTAAAATGACTCATTATTTAGGCGTGCAAATACAGAATGAATTATTGTCGTCTAAAATACTATCTGCCACTTTCGACAGTTATCGTTATCGTTAGTTTCTCTCCTAAGGTGTAAACGGAATCTTTCCCTTACCATCAGGTGTATAGAAATAACCCCGGCCACGATATTTAAGGCGACTGTTGATGCAGTTCTGTAGTTCTCTCTACTCTAGATAGCAAGGTCTTGTAGTATTTTATATGCATCATCAGATGCCATATCTGTGCACGATAAAGTATGGTGGATTGGACCACACGGAGGTCTGCTGGCGACTTCCTAGATTTGGTATAATGCGAGACAGGCTTGAAATTCTCTATTTTGTTTTCCTGGTGATTTGAAGTGTTCTCCATACTTTTTTTCTCGCTTAAAGTTATTTAACGTATTTTGCAGGTCTTATTTCTGTGTCTGTCATGCGTACTATGAGGTTTGCTCTGTTCTTGATGCCTTTTAGAACTATCATCTCGGTCTTGTGTTTTGCTAGGGTTAGCTTATGTTTTTCCATCCATATCAAGGGCTACTTCTGCTTTATAGATGAGGTTGTATTTTGTGTTTGCACATACCGTGAGAGCTAAATCATCGGCAAAAGCTACTGCATTAACTCCTTCCGGGAATCTGCAATTTAGTACACTATATTCCACAGGATTTGTCCAAGGACTGATCCCTGAGAGACGCCCTCTGTGATATTTATAGGGTAGGTACTAAATTTGTTACAAATATTGCAGTTGAGTTGATTCTTTGCAAGTGTTAACATTGTATGTATATTGTAAATTAAGTGGAAATTTTAAAAAGTCCTGCATGACCCAAAATTTAAAATACAGTCATCAGATATCAAATTTTTCAAGCCGTATACGAGGTTTATCAAAAAATATGAGTAAAGTACGTTTATTTTTGACAAAATCGAACATTTTAAAAATTATCTTATCTACTATTACGTCAACCCAACATACACATGTGTATATAAAGTTGCCTACCCTTGGACATCATTCCAGAGCGATATTGTGATCGAAAGAGGCAGATGACAGTGCATATTTTACCGCGTTTCTTAGAACTCAGGTCAATTCTTGTCGTTAAAGCAATCAGTACTATATCTTGTGTTTTTGCCTTTGATATTCATTTATTTAACGTATTTTCTTTGTCAAATGTAATGTTATTTTGTAGTAAAGTTGTTAAGTGTGTAATATACTAATGCCACTAAGATTTAACGGTTTTAATACGTTCCAAAAACAAGAAGGGCTCTCCGAACCTACGAAATAGATATAGCCAACACCACCTTTGTTATAAATATTTAAACAGATAACATTCAACCTAAGCCGGCTCTGATCAGCATGTTGGCGAACGTTCAAAGATTGTGCTTTCTAGATTATCTTGTATACTAGACAAAGAGAAAACATCTCCCAGTTCGACCCGCTGTTCATATGCCGCGTTTGAGAATCCACATCCACCTACTTTTTATATATTTTATTTACGTATAGATGACCAGTCTATATAAACCATATATAACAGATCATTGACCGTGCCACCGTTGCCATATCATCATAATCTATCATTAGCCACGCGCAGCATTTTCGACTTCGACAGGTTGTTGGAATGCCTAATACATATCTATACCGCCTATACCTGGAATTCAGGTCGATGCCTATCGCCTATATCTAACTAAAATCCTACCTATCAACGACATGTCCACGACAAACGAGCACGCGCATTTCGATTTTAAACGTTCGTAGAGCCGAAAATCGAACGCTTCAAAAACAGCTTAAAATAGAAACGCACAATGCGCATGCTCGTCGACAGGCTGACGAACAAAGCTATGAATTAATTACTTTCTTTTAATATTTTTATAAAACGTAGTACTACAAGTTCTTCCTAAAATTTATTATCGATTATTTTTAATTCAAGAGAAAATTACAAATAGGTCTACACAAAAAACAGCTTAGGTATTGGTTCTTATATTAGACGCCATCTTGACTTTACCTCATGCTACGCCACTCGCCATACGTTGCATGTTCTTCTAACAATAATAATTTCTTTTGTGGTTCTGTTAGTTTTGTATTCATAGCAATCAATATAAAAAAAGAATAATCCAATTAATACCTCATAATCGCGATAACTTTTGATCTAATATTGAAATTTATACCTATCTGATAGGTAGAAAAATATAATTAATTTGACCTAGTTCTCTAGTTGTTCTGAAATATGAAATTTGTAACCTATTTAATCCAAATTTGCAGAATTTGTGCTATATCTAGACATAAAAACATAAAAAATGCAAACAAACAAGTTTTGTAATGATAAATGATAATGAGTCATCCCATTTAGCCCGGGAATCAAAATGGCAAAACGTATTCTTAAGAGGTTAATTGTAAACCTGATGGATATTGATTTTTACCCACCCATATTATTTAGGTTAAAAATGAAGAGTGCATTTTAATTTGTACGATAAAACTATCTGAATTTATAACGTTATAAGTAAACAAATTTACTACAAAATTAAAGAATAAAATAAATATATTTGAAAGAAAAACGGTTGAGAATAGAAAAGGACAATACTTTGTTTATTTGCCTAGGAACGTTTCTGATTGGCTGCACCGTTTTGGCGGGCTAGCGAAAGCGACATCATCGGAACGCTACCGAACGATCCGGCATAGCCAGCTTGTGTGTTCCTTCGGTAAGTCGATTTATTTTTTCTCTTCAACATTTAATATAAATTCCCAGGAATTTATTTGAATCCGTACAAAATTACTGTAATATATTAGTTTTTTCACTCTAATTTATCGTGTGATTGGTATAAAGATCCGTTGAGTGGTATCAGAGGAATTAATTTCGAAGCGTAATAAAATGGATTTATTTTTCGAGCATGGCGACTGGAAATTTGTAAACCAAGCCAGTAGACTCCAAATCGATGTTCGAAAATTAATTTCTCTGAAAGTATGGGGTGTTTTGATGCGATTCTTGCACCGAATTATAGCTAATTTTTAGTTTTATTGTTTGATATTATGTTTTTGTTACTGCGGAGATTATTTAGTCTGAAAAATATTTGGGTGTTGGCGTATAATTTTAATATTATATTATTTTACGTATTTTCAAATGGCGCGCGCTAATTTGATGTTACCTACTGTAATTTCGATATATTTTTTTAATTATTAATCCTTATTATATAGGTATATATTTATTTTAACAATAAATTGGGGAGAATTTAATTATAATAAAATTAATTATGCACAAATTATGTTACGAAAAGTTTTTGAGGCGTTTATATTGATTTTTTTTTTAAATTCCGCAAGTTTGATATGAAAAAAAAGCTTAATTTTATCGAAGGTCGTAGGGTTAGTGACTTCCCAATCTGATTTTGCATTCTACACGGTTTAACTAAATTATAAACGATAGGTACCTTGTTTTTTAATGATTTATTACAAAAAAATAGATTCATTACGTTACATTTGTATAATTATTCTCCCAAATTAGTTCAAACAGATTTTTATAGGTAAATTAACTTTTATTTTTGTTTATTCGATCAGATATTATACTACAGTACAGAAAAAAGAAATTGTATATACATCTGGTAGGTACCTCCGTTGATTCGAAATACAAACTTTTATTTTTTTTCGTGAAGAAATCTTTGAAATGTTCGTGTTCGTATCAACAGATGGCGCTGGTGGTAATGTTATATCGACATTATTGATTTTTGTGTGTTTGACGTCATGTGACGTGGTTGACTTGCATTCATATTTAATAAAAGTACGGCTTTCTCTTTCGTTTGCTGGTATAAATCGGCTTGTTTTGGAAACTAATTCAGAATCATTGAATTAAGAGGTTTAATATAACCTCGCGACGTAATCTTGTAAAATTTATTCGTCAATTGTATTTGAGAACTGGAATAATTGAAGGTTCTGTTTGAGCCAAAACAAACAGAAGGATAATCGCCACAGGTCCGTACCTAGCACTTTTGGCGCCATTATGCAAATTTTTAAAAGTATTTTCAATATATGATACAAAAGCGCGAGAAATTAAAAAAAAATATTTAAAACATTAAAAATACTCGTTTATAAATTCTTCCTCAGATAAATTACCAAAAAATAAGTGGATTTGGCTATATTTACCTATATCAAAAACTGGATCTCAACTAAGTTACAGGGCGTTAAACTAACATTCAGAAAAATAGTTTTTTTTTTTTTGTAAAAAGTTTGCTGTTGTGATTTTTTGTTTGGGATTTTTGCCAGTGCTGTAGATTTCAAGGCCCAATATTCCAAGAAAAAAAAATTAAAGCGACA